AGAAGGAAGCACATAGCTGTTTCACTCTGTCCAGGTTGTCATGGTAACAGTTGCCTTACAGTTGAATACCCACCTGTACAAAGAAGCTTTGTAGTGGCTGATACCTCACTTTTTGGGTGTGGTGGTGGTGTTGATGATGATGATAATGTGCACCACGTTCTGTCTATGTATTTCCTACTAGATAGAACGAGCAGTACCGTTTTTAGTTCGATTGTTATTGCACTTGTTGACTTTGTATTGTCACGACAGGGAGAAATAAAGTTTTATCTTTTCCAGTGTGTTTAAATGCCTTTGTGTCAAGTGCTATTTTGGGGGTGGGGGGGGAGCTGGTTTATTTTAATAACCTTGGAAGCAGTGGTTCTCAAACTGTGGGTGTGCACCAGCTGTGGAAGAGAGAGCCACTGATGGTGGGGCTCAGAGAACCAGGAGAAAAATGTGAAGTGAAATTAAGCTGAATGAATATGTTTAATGAATGAAGATATGGGAAACACACACACTTGTTTTCATATCTTATTGAGGACATCTAATTGACATAATGCTTGCTCTAGCCTACCATCAAAAATGATTGCGTAATCCTAACCCTTAGGCTAAAGCTGACCATAACCTAATTGTAACCCTGAGAGGAAAAACAACACTTTGAGTCTCAAAACTGCCTTCAAACACATGGGGACAGGCATTTTTTCCCCATAAGTATAGTAGCATTCCAGTTTTTGGTCCTCACAAAGATGTGTAAACATGAACACACACACACACACCAACAGAGGCCATTTCATTAGGTACACCTCGCTAAAAAAAAGGCCTACCTTTTGTCTTTTGATCTACCTGGAAAATAATCCTCATATTGGATACTGGTCCATGTTGACATAGTCTGTCATGATGTGAGATCCATAATGTGAATCTCCTTCTGTTAGCCTGAGAGCTCATGACTGTGGAGGATGATTGAACTCATTGTCATGTTCAAGAAGAGTGAGATGACTAGAACTTTGGGACATGGTGCATTATCCTTTCCATAAAAAGACGGGTGCACTTAGTTCATAAAGCGATGGACATGATCAGCAGCAATAATCAGGTAGGCTGTGGTGTCTAAATGATGCTCAGTTGATACTAAGCTGTCCCCTACTCCATACAACCACCACCAGTCTGAAGCATTGACACAAGGTATGATTGATCCATGTTTTCATGTTCCTCACACCAAATTCTGACGATACCATTTGGAAGTCTTTGTCTTTTGGGTTTTTTTGTTGTTCTTTTGGGTTTTTTGGCTCAGTGGGTTAATCCATACAAAGTTTTGAGAAGCACTGCGGGAACGGGAGCTCCTATGTAAGCCTGAAGAAAAGGCTATCAGAAATTTTGTCTGAATATGTCAATAGAAATGCTGTGGAGTTTGTGTTTCTTTTTAAATTCATTTAACCTTCTCTTAGTCACTAGATAATTTCTTTTAATTTCCCTATCTTCTGGATTCACATTTAATTATTTATTTATTTATTTATTTATTTTTGCCTGTCCCGTTTGGCTCTTTTGCCATCAGAATTATTGTCTAAAGGCAAAGAAAGATGCCCAACGGATTTACTTTACCAAATTGACCATCCCAGCCTT